TGATTTGATTCTGTATTTTACAATCGCATTCATAGGATTATGTAAATTCTTCGAATGTGTCTTAGGTAAGAAAAAGACACTTGAGAACTATCTAATATTGTTTATTGCAAGAAAATTGAAAGTAAGCATTATTCTGCATGTAAATTTGTACATGCAGGCCACTTATATAAAAATCTTTAAAAAACAAAAACTAATAAAAATGACAAAAAGCACATAACAAAACTACTAAAACTTAAACTAAAATCAAAACTGAAAATATAAAAATAAAAGCTAATTCAAAATATTTCTAAATACTATAATAATATATAATTATCAATACTAAAATAACACTGCTAAAGTCTTAGATTTGACCCTGTGTGTCTCTAAAGCGTAACACTGCAGGAATGTTTCTTCAAAACACTGTAAATTAGCTCCGAAAAATACCTCGTATCCCCCACCACAACACCAAATCCCAGACGCTGATGTATTCCTGACATGCCCAGGCAACTTCCAAGAGTGATTAAAGATGATTATTGGAAGTCTTTGTTTGACTAATCCAGATTAATGCACTTGTGCTTGAACTCATGTGAGCTTCCAGCAGCCAGTAGATCCTGCAAAAGGACTTAAAGATCACAAAGGTTGCGTGAGGTAATGGAGGTCATGGATTTCTGGGATTTATTCTGTAAGGTCTCGGCCAGGGTAGCTGAGGTTTAAACCAGACCATCTTAATCTACAGCAATCATCTGATAAAAACACAGCACGAGCCCAAAACCTGCCATTCATCTCCTCACATGCAGCATTTTAATACAGCATTCAAGTAATTTTTATTTTTTTTGTGTGTGTGTGATTTTGCAGTACAAAAGGCTAGATGACTACAGTTTCTGAAGAAAACAGTGTTTGTCCATGAAAAACTTGTAACCACAAAGCTGCCGATAGTGGCTGCTATGCATTTTTGGTGGTTGCTAGGGTGTTGCTAGGTGGCCCAAGTACATTTTAATGGAGAAATTTTAAGAATTCTAATTTTCTTTGATTTGAAGCAACCGATTTTGTTATAGAGATAACCTACAGTCAGCCATTAATTTTTACAAAATAAACTCAAACAGGTTATTCTGGACCCTAATGTGCCACTTACCAAATAAATAAATGCATGGACATGAAATATTGATTTGCACAGATGTATATCAGTAGCATTAACAGTGCAACAACAAAGTTTAATATTTAGTTTTGTTCAAATTGCTAACAATAAGTAGAGAATTAGTGATAGTAATGATTAGCAAGCACCACTAATTAAATCAAAAATCAAAATATTTAAAAAATTTCATTTTCAGAATCCTGTAAGACTGCTAATGGATTTCTGACTAGATCTAAAAATGCAGAACCAATTAAAAGGGACAGAATAAAACCCTTAATTCTAAACAAATTGCATTTTCAGTTGATCTTGTAGGATCATATTTGTTGTTTACATGGTTATTATTTGATCCTTTTAGGATTGGTATCAAATTATAATAATATATAATAAATTATGATTCTAGATTCGACTATCAAGTCAAATTATCCTAAATAAGACAGCAAAAGAAAGTTTTTTTTTGTAAACAAACAAAAAGCATTCATGGGTCAAAGACGTTAAGATGTCCACATCAAAAGAAATTTACAAAAGTGATTTTATGTCCATAGAAAGCACATTAAGTGTAAGTAAAGTGTCTACTTTTAAGGTTTCAAATAAGGTTTTGGAGGGAGAAATGTCAAAATTTGGTTGAAATAAAGTTACATTGTCATTCAGTGTAACTATAATAAATTATGATTTTAGATTCGACTATCAAGTCAAATTATCCTAAATAAGACAGCAAAAGAAAGTTTTTTTTTTTAAACAAACAAAAAGCATTCATGGGTCAAAGACGTTAAGATGTCCACATCAAAAGAAATTTACAAAAGTGATTTTATGTCCATAGAAAGCACATTAAGTGTAAGTAAAGTGTCTACTTTTAAGGTTTCAAATAAGGTTTTGGAGAATAAAATGTCAAAATTTGGTTGAAATAAAGTTACATTGTCATTCAGTGTAACACAATATTTATGTAAAAATTCAAACAACATGCTAAAACTAAATTTCAATTAAATTAAACAGAATTGTTTTTTTATTTATTTGGGAAAAACAACAACAATTTAAAGCAATATTACACTTATCGTTTTTATGCTTAAACCCTTTTTCGTCTTTGACCCTCATACATGCACAGCGTGCATCATTACATAATGTACAGTCCTCATGCACAAAAATCAGTTTTATCCCAAACAAATAGACAATATCAGGCACTAATGTTTGCGTAAGAGTCTGTGTGGAGAGCTTGATGTGAGGTGTCAGGTGGAGAAGTTAAATTGGCAGCCGCTTCAGCAGCACACAGCTGTTTCAGCCTGTTTACACACAATCAGACCTCGGTCTGTCATCAACATCTTTTTACACATCAGGCAAACAGAGGATGAGGACCATAGCAATATAGAAAAATCTCTGTCTTTTTTATGTATGATAACCCTGGCATTATCTTAATATTATCTTTTTATATAGACAAATAGATAGATTTAAGAATTAAAATTAATTAATAAAAAAAAACGATTATATTAAAACAAATATTCACGTGTGTGTGTGTGTGTGTGTGTAAAATTTATTTTTTAATTAATTTATATATATAAATATATATTAAACCATGGTATCGCCACAGTTATTGTTTTCCGTGGACATATGTGGAATAATTCAGACATCACTACAGTCATGAATTCGTTTGTTTCTCTATGTGTACATGCACCTCTCTGTCGATCCTGTTCCCGTTAACTAATTAGACGTCTGCTTAAACTGAGAGCCGCTGTCTTAGAGATGCATTCCATGCGATGTGCTCTGTGCTGAATTAGCATTTCTGTGCCTGAGGTCTAAATAGGGAATGTGGGTACCTTTACTATTTTGTTGCCATTAAAAATGAAAGCGACCCCAAAGAAACGTAAAGAGATGAAACCAAAATGAGATTAAGAGCAGAGCAGAGCAAAGAGCATGCTTTCTCTACTCACTCCTTCCATCTCGCATTTGTTTGCCTTTGTCTCCTGTGCTTTAAATGTCATCTTGCATTGACCTCATGAATACTGTGTGTGTGTTTCTGGAGGGCAGTGCGTGTGTGTGGATCTTATCCTAGTCATTCTGAGCAGCTGTGGTGTGTTTACAATCTTGTCCTCGGGTTTTTTTTTTGAAAGAGCATCTTCAAAATCACCTAAAACTGCAGGACAATGGCATTGCACTTCCTCAGCAGAGAGTTTAATTGCTCTTTCATAGCTTTTTTAATGCACACTAATGTTTCTTTAAGTATCAGCATTCTCTAAAACACTAATGAGTCAATAGCTAACATCCAGTAAGAGTATAGACAGGGTGCGAACTATGGGGGAGCTAGGGGGAGCTCGGCTCCCCTTAATAAGACATGGGCTCCCCTGAAAACGTGATTTGTGAAATTTTGGGGGGTCTCAAAAAAATATTGACAATGTGTTATTTTGACGTGCAATTTCAGTTTTGTGTAATGTGATCATCATGGATTATTATGTGTAAAATTGCAAAAAATATCATTCATTCATGCATGAAGGCGATTTAAACCTAATTCACTTCAATACCGCAAGCGCAAACCCCCCCATAAAAAAAAAACAAGCGGGCTCCCCCAAAGTCCACGGTATAGCTCATGTTCGTAGAAAAAATATAAACGTTGGACTCTGGTCGATTTTGTGTTAAGGAGCATGTTATTCGCAATTATGTGTTGTGGCTGGGTGGTTATAGGTCTGCGTGACTCTCGATGTCTTAGGTCTAATTGAATGTAGGAATTATGGTATTCTTCTGTAGCCTGACGACGAACTTTAACCATTGTTCATGTGAACTCAAAGACAGCCTGATGCTTTGTTTATAGACTATTTGTGGGTGGCTGTTTGTTGTTTCACCTATCAATTCGTGTCGATAAAGTATAATATAGTAAATCCTGTATAGTGATTGTGATTGAAGTCATTGTAAGCCCTCTTTTGAGGCACGCGCAAGCGATTTTTTTTTTAATGATTTTCCATGAAAATGACATATACAGTATATGTTATTTTTTCTCCTGTGCTTACATGACCATCCACTCTGCTGACTGCAAAATCAAAAATCAAACGTGAAGTGCCAAAAAAGTGGAATTAAAGGCGGTCGTGTTGGGTGGCCGCTGAAGCACATCTTAAGGGCTCACGGCGCTTTTATTCCACCCACCTCAGTGAAGAGACCTGCCACTGTCAATCATTCTCTTGTAGTCAGCGCTGGCACAAACACAGCTCGACCCCTGATTAACAACGTGTCATAGCAGACTAATCCTGCGCCGTGCGTTAATGGCTGAGGACGTGAGGGGCTTGCAGTTCTGCGGTGGGCCTGTCTAGGAAGAAATAACTGGCTATCTGAAACCTGCTTTGGGAGGTCCAGCTGTTCAAGAAATTGTCTTTGCATGTCTGAATGTGTTTTTACACCAGCTCTATCTCACACTTTTTGTCTTGCCGCAATTGTTAAGTCGACATTGCACATCTTATTTTTTTTTATCTCGTTAAACAGAATCCTTTTTCCTGTAAAAATAAGATTTCATCATCATTTACCCTCATGTTGTTCCAAACCAGTGTGCTGGAATTTTTTCTGTGAAACACAAAAGAAGAAATTTTGAATCTTTACCCAGTTCATACTGACCACGGCCAACAGGCTAAAAAAACAACAACAAATAAACACACACACACACACACACATAATCATTATTGAATATATCATATAGAATATTGAATTGTATTTATAATTGGGTTAACAATTACATCATAAAATTTTAAACGACTGTATGCATGTATGTATGTATGTATATACAGTGGGTACGGAAAGTATTCAGACGAACCTGTTTAAGAGAAGACGCACCTGAAAATAACCAAATATAAAGATGTAGTTCTTGTCTATTGCATATTTTTATATTTAAATTGCTTATTTTCCGTATGTGTTGTGGCAGGTCTCAGTATCCGTGGCAGTCAGGATGAAGATCCTCCGGACCCTCAGCTCATGCGTCTGGATAACATGCTGCTGGCAGAGGGCGTGTCCGGACCAGAGAAGAGGGGCGGGGCAGCGGCGGTTGCTACGGCAACAGCAGCAGTGGGAGTGGGAGCTGATAACTCCATCGAGCACTCGGACTACAGAGCCAAACTCAGCCAGATCAGACAGATCTACCACACCGAGCTGGAGAAATATGAGCAGGTCTGTACACCTGTGAACAACCCGCAATCCATCAGGAATATACGGCTGTATCAGAAAAATGAGTATCGCTAAAATCAATCAGACATCTTGGCACTGCTGCTTTGTAAAGTAGCTTGTTACTGGAAAAAGTACACTAGACTTTTGTAATTTTTCTCTTTTTTAATATTATATTTATGTTTAATAATGATAATAATATTTTGTTTAATATAGTAACTTTGAAGACCTCAAGATCGCTTTACAAAAAGTAGAAAAATATCACACAGCAAGACAATTTATACAAAACAATACAGAACTATACAGAACATTTATTTTATCTATTTCTTTTATTTCCAGATAATAATTTTAGTGATTCAATTTAACTGTTTCAGTTAGCTGCCAAGGCAGCATTTCTCATTTTCATTCAAAATTTTTCATTGAATAGTTCCATTTTATTTTATTTCAGCTTAATTTCAGTTAACAAAAATGTTTTCATAGTTTTAGTTTTAGTTGATGTCTTTGCATTATCAGTTATGAGTAATTTGATTGGTTCACAGGCGTGTAATGAGTTCACTACCCATGTGATGAACCTGTTGAGGGAACAGTCTCGCACGCGACCCATCTCACCCAAAGAGATCGAGCGCATGGTGAACATCATCCACCGCAAATTCAGCACCATCCAGATGCAGCTCAAGCAGAGCACCTGCGAGGCCGTCATGATCCTCAGGTCTCGCTTTCTCGACGCCAGGTCAGAAACTGTGTGAAACACATTTACAGTCATGCATTTGCCAGACAATTGTATCCAAAACATCTTGCATAAAATGTATTGCCTGCATCTTGCCAGTATATATGTTTAGAAAAGGTGTGTTTTTTGTGATTTTGACAAGCTATTAATATTTTGAATTAGCTTTTATTTTAATATTTAAATTTTTAGTCATTTTGTTATATGCTTTTGACAGTTTTCTGCTTTTTTATATTACAATTTAGGTGTAATTTATTTTTATATTTAAGTTTTAGTTTTAGTTTTATTTATTTATTTTCTATCCAACCCATCTTGCATAACCTTTAATCCATGCACTTTGCCAGTATATGTGTTTCCTTACATGAATGAGGTGCAATCTACAATACACTTCGTTCAAATAGGTTGTGTTTTTTCTAGTATTACTTATATATTACTAGAATGTACATTTCCTGAAGAAAATGTGAGTGGTGCATGCAGTGGCAAAACTCAGCACTTAGTTGCTAGGGTGTTGCTAAGGTGTTCTGGGTGGTTGCTAGGATGTTGCTAGGCGATTTGCTAGGGTGTTATGAGTTGTTGCAAGGTGGTTGCTGGAGTGTTCTGGGTGGTTGCTATTGTGTTGCTACGCGGTTGCTAGGGTATCCTGAGTGGTAGCTAGGTTGTTGCTACGCGGTTGCCAAGGTGTTCTGGGTGGTTGCTAAGGTGTTCTGGATGGTTGTTTGGGTGTTGCTAGGCAGTTTCTATGGTGTTCTGGGTGGTTGCTATGGTGTTGCTAGGCAGTTGCTAGGATATCCAGAGTGGTTGCTAGGCAGTTGCTATGGTAACATGGGTGGTTGCTAGGTGGTTGCTTGGGTGTTCTGGGTGGTTGCTAGGGCTTTGCTAGGGTGTTCTAGGTGGTTGCTATCGTGTTGCTAGGCGGTTGATAGTTGTCACAGATTGTTACTATGGAGTTTTGTAGAGTTCTTAGCCTGATTTAGCACTTAGCTAACATGACACTTCTATCCAAAGATATCCCTTTTGATCTGTTTAAATGGAAGTCTATGGGGTGGTTGCTAGGCTGCTGTAAGTGGTTGCTAGGGTGTGGCTATGAAGATCATAGGTCATTACTTATTGGTTACTTGAAAAGATAAGTCAAATGTACATATCTAGTTTTTATTACCGTAATATTCTGAATTACCCAATTTTTTACATTTTCAGTTTAGTTTAATTTTTAGTAATTTTGTTATATGCTTTGTCAGTTTTCGTTTTTATATTATTATTTAGGTTTAATTTACTTTTTTCTGTTGTAGGTTTTTTTTTTTTTTCAAATCATCTTCCACAACATTTGATGCATGCATTTTGCCAGTATATGTGTTTCATTATGTGAATAAGGTGCAATCTAGACCTCATTTAAATAGAAAAGGTGTTATTTTAGTATTATTTATATATGCTTTTATATGCTTATATGCTTTTGTCAGTTTTCAGTTTTTATATTATTATTTAGGTTAAATTTTTTTTAAAGTTTTTTTTTTCTTAACATCTTGCGTAACATTTAATGCAGGCATTTTGCCCATACTGTATATGTGTTTGCTTATGTGAATAAGGTGCAATCTATATAATACACCTCATTTACATAGATTTAGCGTAGATAATGCTTGGATTAAAGGTGGTTAGTGAATAAGCCCCAGGTATCTGCTCTAAAATACAAAGCTCAAAACTGTTTAGTGAATTCAAACATAATTTTGTCCCAAAGAGACTATCCTACTAATAATACACTGCAAATAGCTTTAGATAATAAAGCATTTAAAAAAAAAAAAATTATTTTTATTTATTGTGTGTCCGTGTTTTTACACAAGTAGGTGTTTTTGCGAGTGTGGGTTTGTTTCTGACTGTATTGGGTGTGCTGAGAGTGAGGCGTGTGTGAACGTGTGGGTGATGTGGTAATATTTTAAGGTCTTATGAGTGTTTTGCTTAAACTGGCAGAAGGATAAATTGAGTGGGATTGGGAAATTTGCCAATTACTGCCGGTTGGTTTGCAAGGGCAGGAGTTACTTAAATCAAAGAGTATCGTGTTGCTAGGCGGTTGATAGTTGTCACAGATTGTTACTATGGAGTTTTGTAGAGTTCTTAGCCTGATTTAGCACTTAGCTAATCACTATTAGCATGCAGCTATTCACTGCTAGCATGTGTAGCATGCATGATGGAAGTCCTGTTTGCTAGCATGCGTCAAAAGAGCAAAACCCCCATGACACTCCTATCCAAAGATATCCCTTTTGATCTGATTAAATGGAAGTCTATGGGGTAGTTGCTAGGCTGCTGTAAGTGGTTGCTAGGGTGTGGCTATGAAGATCATAGGTCATTACTTATTGGTTACTTGAAAAGATAAGTCAAATGTACATATCTAGTTTTTATTACCGTAATATTCTGAATTACCCAATTTTTTACATTTTCAGTTTAGTTTAATTTTTAGTAATTTTGTTATATGCTTTGTCAGTTTTCGTTTTTATATTATTATTTAGGTTTAATTTACTTTTTTCTGTTGTAGGTTTTTTTTTTTTTCCAAATCATCTTCCACAACATTTGATGCATGCATTTTGCCAGTATATGTGTTTCATTATGTGAATAAGGTGCAATCTAGACCTCATTTAAATAGAAAAGGTGTTATTTTAGTATTATTTATATATGCTTTTATATGCTTATATGCTTTTATCAGTTTTCAGTTTTTATATTATTATTTAGGTTTAATTTTTAAAAAAAAATTTTTTTTCTTAACATCTTGCATAACATTTAATGCAGGCATTTTGCCCATACTGTATATGTGTTTGCTTATGTGAATAAGGTGCAATCTATATAATACACCTCATTTACATAGATTTAGCGTAGATAATGCTTGGATTAAAGGTGGTTAGTGAATAAGCCCCAGGTATCTGCTCTAAAATACAAAGCTCAAAACTGTTTAGTGAATTCAAACATAATTTTGTCCCAAAGAGACTATCCTACTAATAATACACTGCAAATAGCTTTAGATAATAAAGCATTTTTTAAATAAAAAATTATTTTTATTTATTGTGTGTCCGTGTTTTTACACAAGTAGGTGTTTTTGCGAGTGTGGGTTTGTTTCTGACTGTATTGGGTGTGCTGAGAGTGAGGCGTGTGTGAACGTGTGGGTGATGTGGTAATATTTTAAGGTCTTATGAGTGTTTTGCTTAAACTGGCAGAAGGATAAATTGAGTGGGATTGGGAAATTTGCCAATTACTGCCGGTTGGTTTGCAAGGGCAGGAGTTACTTAAATCAAAGAGTAAATTCTGCATAAATCTGCTCATCAGAAACTATTCAACTGGAATGCAAATGAAGCAAACAGTGATTGGTGGGCTCAGTGATGACATCATAAAGAGAGAGAGTGAGAGATTGGCTGCTAAAGTCAGATTTAATCTAGTCTCACTGTTTTAAGCGAATACGTTTTTATGCCACATCAGGGAATGTTTATTGGATACAACCTAATGACAGTGGCTGACCTATAACTGCCAATAATATATACATGCAATAATTTATACTTTAAGTATTGTGGTATAGTTATGGTACCTACCAGCAGGGAATCGTTGGATCATGCTAATCAGCTAAAAACAATTTGCTGTTTTCTTACTTAGCAATTTTGTCTTGTTTTCCATTATAAATATCGAAACATTTTTAACCTTCACATTGTGTTTTGGTCATTTTAAGCCAGAAAGGATTTTCTTTTTCCTGAAAATGCTAGTTAACGTTTGTTATCACATTGAACTAAAACGTCCTAACTTTGTCCACACCAGTGTTTAACAACTAACTGGATCATTTTTGATACTTTTTGGGGACTTTTTTCCCCCTACGTTGTTACACTTCTGTTGTTCCTGGTCAAAAATGACCAGCCTACAAAAAAACTGCTTATAAATGTAATTGATTGAATTCTACAGGATTTCCGGGAGACGTGCGTGTCACGTTCTTTAAGGTTCCGTCTGGAAACAAAGATGCCGTGACGCCAAACCCCCTCACAAAAGAAGAAAGTCGTAGTGTTTACAACTGTGACGACGAGCGCTTATCAGGATCAACTAGTGATAAACCAGAAAATCGTATTACTAGTGATTATATTTATGATTTTTCAGCTATTTTGACAAAAATCATGCTAAAAGCTTTAATTTCTCATTGTTGCAGTTGGACTGATGCTCCATGCCATGCTTAGTTCCTCATTTTGCCTTTGTTGTGCTTGGCCCCTTAATTGCTGCTTGCATATACTATTTCATATACTATTGTAGTTTTTATTAATATTTTATATTAGCTTATTTTTTATATTTTCAGTTTAGTTTATGTTTAGTAATTTAGTAATCAGTTTAGTGATTGTTATATGCTTTTGTCAGTTTCCGTTTTTTTAATGTTACTATTAATTTTTTTCTTATGTCTTTGTTACATCTGAGGTGTTCCCAGTAAAAATGACCAGCCTACAAAAATGCTTATAAATTTCTCATTATGCTACATTATCAACAAATCTTGGATTCAATCATTTTATCATGATTTCATAGCATTTCTTTTTTTGGAACTGATTGATTGAAGACCTCACTGATCTGAACTTATGCACCTCAATTTTTGAGCGAGCACTGGCAAAATTATCCACAAATAATGTTTTTTTTTTTTTCACTCAAAGAATGAGGCGCATAAGCTCAGATTAATGAGGCATATGATGAATCAGCTCCAAAAAGAAATGTTAAATCAGTGCTAATTGAAAGAAAACATTTCAAATATTTTTAAGAAATCAAATATTTTGTGATAATATAGTGTAATGGGAAATTTACAAGCAATTTTTAAAAGGCCATTTTTGACCAGGAATACCAAATTACTGTAGGTAAAGGATTTTCAGCACAGCAGAAGGGTTAAAGCAAGATATATTTCTGCTCAACCAGAAAGATACATTTCTGCAGATTGCTTTGGATAAAAGCATCTGCTAAATGATTAAATGTAAATGTACATTTACTTGAGAAATGAAGCGAGTTTGTGCTTAAAACAAGGGGAAAAAAATCTGCCAGTGGGGTTAGAACTTAATTAAAAGAGAAAACAAGAATATCTTTCTGACCCTATTGACAGATGTCTTTTCTTGTTTCAGCCGTAAAATCACTTCATTTTGATAAATTATTCAGAAGCCAAGACTTAATATTTTATGTCATTTTACTTCTCAAGTAAATATCGCTTTAATTTAAGAATGTACTGAAAAACTAAACAAAAATACTGAGGAAGAAAGGCATTTTTTGCAGTGATGTTGCTAGCAGAAATACACACTTCAGCTTTAATAACTTTTAATATTATATAAAGATATTGAAACGGTTGAGGATCTAACAATACTAATGATTCCTCTTTCTCCAGGAGAAAAAGGCGCAACTTCAGCAAGCAGGCGACAGAGATTCTGAACGAGTATTTCTACTCTCACCTCAGTAACCCGTATCCCAGCGAAGAGGCCAAAGAGGAGCTGGCCAAAAAGTGTGCCATCACTTTGTCACAGGTCAGTCTGTCCTCCTGTAGTCCAGATCTCGGACGATACTGCGCACACGAGCCTTCAGCTGTCAAACAAGAAGATTTTATTCACAACCTGAGCAAAATAACTAACAAATTTGTTAGAGGCGGTCTGTGACACTGTGAAGGTGCAGAACATTTGGCTCAAAATAGTGATGAAGCACAGTGCCCAGTAACATCTCAACACGAGTGTGAAGTGATTTAGACCGCAACAGTGAGTACCCAGTTTTCTGCCGCATGGATCCTGGAAGTATTTTCCCATTGAGATTTCAGAAAGTTTCTCAATAAAGTTCAAATAGAGTTTAGTAGATGGCTCACAACATCACAACATTTGTTTTGCAAAAGGTCTATTTTTGTGTACAAATGTGCAAAAATGTACTTTTTTATAGGAATTAAAGAGCTACTACAACCGTAAAGAATTGCAAACAATTTATTCGGTTCAGTTGGTTGTTAACACAACTACAGTCTTCATCCTCCAATGCTACAATTTCCCATATTAACTAACATTAAGTAGGTGGCTAGTTAGTCTGAGCCTCAGTCCGCACACCTTTGAGCAAGTAAACTATATAGATATCTATGTGCAGAATTGTATATTAGACTCTGAATACTGAACTAATTAGTAATCATTACTTTTAGTCAGGTAGAAATCCAAATCATAAAGTCTGTTTCTGCTCATTTTCAGATAAATCCACCCCTAAATGAGACACAAACAAAATGAACTGTAGTTGCATGAGAGAGTATAATATTATATACTTATATAGTATTAGTATTTTGAATTAGATTTTATTTGTATATTTTGTTTAATGTTTAGTCATTTGATATGTGCTTTTGTCATTTTTATGTTTTTTTATAATCTAAATATTTTTCATTTATTTTGATTTTTATTTATATTTAGTTTTATTATATTTATTTATATTTAGTTTTTAGTTTGATATTTTCAGTTTTTATTTGAATTTTAGTTAAAGTTTTAGTTATTTAATATGTGCTTGTCATTTTGATTTTTAAAATTCTAAATATTTTAATTTATTTTTTAATTAAAATATTAAATTTATTTTATAAAAAATATTAAATATCAAATTTTATTTGTTTGAATTAGCCTTTAACATATACCGTATTGTCCCGAATATAAGACGATATTTTTTTCTTGGAAATACATCTGAAAAAACGCGGTCGTCTTATATTCAGGGTCTAGACTTTGACATGTCAATAATACACCCACAACAATAGGTGGTGCCAAATACGCATAAAACGAGTGTGCCATGAAATACGTAATGTAATGGTGTTGTAAAGATCGCGAGTAAAAACAAACCTTACAGCTGCATGAGTCGTGACTGTCACGTTAGCCTGATGGCACCAAACTCTCTTTGTGATTTTAAAACGTAAGACTGTACCCAGATTTGAAGACTACAGTAAGATTTAACTTCTACTGTTAATAAGATTTTGGTAGGCTACTATTAGATGGATAGCCTAAATGTCCTAATTCAGATGGGCTATTTTATTTTATTTTATTTTTTTATGGTATATCAAAAAGTTTATATTTTTTAAATGTGATTGTTGGTACATTTTACCAGTTTTTACCATACTTTCAAAACAAAAATTAAAATAGGAAAAATATGCAATATGAAAATAATTGAAGACAAAATGTGTTTTACTGAGAAAAAACAAGATTTGGTTTTTAAAAAGCCTTTTTCCAAAAGGTACATCTGGAAAAAGGGGGGTCGTCTTATATTCGGGCCAATACGGTATACATTTTTTTTGTAATTTGAAATGTGCTTTTGTCTTTTTCATTAGTTCGTTTTTTTTATTTCAGTTAGTAATTTTAGTACTTTAACTTAAACACGTTTCATTTTCACTTAGTTTAAATTATTTATGCATAACATTTAATTTATATTAGTTTTATATAAGTTAATTTATATTTTATTTCAGAATTATTTTAATTAACAAAAATTATGTTTTTTTTTGTTGTTGTTGTTTTTTTTTTATAAAAGCAACACCGCTAGTAACTAGCTAACGTTACCTAGAAAAACTACAAACACAACCCTCCTTACAGCAATTACCATTTCCACAGTAATAGCGGCTTCAGGATTGTGGGTAATGTAGTACGTTACAGGAAACTTTGCAATATATTACTGTAAAAAATGATTTTTCAAAGTTGTAAATAAAACAGATTATTGATTTTATTTGTATTAAAATACAGTTTCAGCCTTTTTTTTTTCAGTGCAGAATCATAAAACTCATTTTATTTTTAATGATCATAAAAATCATAAAGAGCTCATGGAAGCTCATGAAAAAGTCACAAATAAAATCACTCTGAAGGGCATTTTTACTTCCAGAACCCGACTGTTGCGCTCGAGTGAGATGGACACACTTTATGAATATTCAGCCTGTTTTATGTTTGTGTAACGGGTGGGTGTGTACAGGAAGTCGTTACTGTAAAAAAGCCCCTTCTTTTTGTGCCCTTTAGGGGAAGGGAAGCACCATCACTGTGTCACAGGTATGTCACTAAAACATCCGTCCGTCCGCTGTGTTGTCTGTCGATGTTGGTTGCAGTGGCAGCCGTGTCTCTGTGTGCTGAACAACAATCGATGCATCATATAGTCATTTATTCAGCAGCTGGAATTATTCTTTACGGCCATAAGACACACACACACACACACACACACACACACACTCAGCCAACCATGCATACATTTCCTCACCACTGCCAACAGTTACATGCTTTCTTGCACTTGGATGGTGTCTTCTGGCTGTCTTTTATTGGATCCTGAGATTATGACATCAGCGAGGCGTTTTATAGCGCTTCTTGAACTATTCTGCCTCCCATTGGCAGTTTAAGGCCTGTTTGGAGATATTTTATGAAGGAGCCATTGCTTGGGGTGGATGTAATTTTAATATGTCTGGGTTTGCAGCAACGTTAATGTTCTTTTGCAAAAGGTTGGTACATTTACAATGTCTTACAAATGTATGAGAATAACAGTCGTTGTAAAACACATAAAAATACATGCATTTTTCAGAGAAGCCGTGAACGTTTGGCTTGCAGCACATATTTCACTGGACTCTGCAATGAAGAAACATGTTTTTTATGAATTATATGAGAGCAACAAATTTTTTTTTTCATTATCGGGGGGGGAAATGTGATTAATTTCAATTCAAATAATGTTACAATGCAAAAAATTTAACCGTCCGACTCCTTAAAGAGGCATCATTCTCTTCATGCAAAATATATATTTTTTTTTTTCTTTTGATTTTGTGGTAAAAAAAAATTATAGTATAGTATTTTATAATGCATATTATATCATTTTTATAGATTAATTTCAATTCAAATAATGTTACAATGCAAAAATTTTAACCGTCCGACTCCTTAAAGAGGCATCATTCTCTTCATGCAAAATATATATTTTTTTTTTTCTTTTGATTTTGTGGTAAAAAAAAATTATAGTATAGTATTTTATAATGCATATTATATCATTTTTATACTATTTCCTCATAATATTCATCCACATTTGCTTCTCTCTCTTTCTCTGTCTCAGGTTTCTAACTGGTTTGGTAATAAACGTATTCGCTATAAGAAGAACATCGGTAAATTCCAGGAGGAGGCGAATCTGTACGCAGCGAAGACGGCAGTGACGGCGACTCAAGCTGTAGCGGCCGCTGTACACAACAGCCAGACCAACTCGCCCGCAACGCCCAGCTCTGGTACACATGAACGAGATCATTGGAGAGACCACCGGGGCTAGTTGTCACAAATCTTATATCTCAGGTTTTGAGTCCAGTAGCACAAATACTTGTTTTCTCCAACATTTGTTGCCCAAAACAATAGTATTCTTAAATTAATAGTCAATCATCTTCAGGTAAATGACCTAAATAACCTGTTGTGACAACGTGCCCTGCTATAGGGGACGTATGGGGTATTAAATTAAATGTATCTTGTTTACTAAGCAATAACAGTGGAAATGTAGACGTAAGAATAAAAACTGTGATAACTAGCCCCGGTCGCCCTTATATTGCAGATAGAGTTGTTATAGTGCAATTATTGGGTCTTGAACATGCGTTTTTGAAATAAGTAATTAAAGAGTTTAAACGAGTTCAGTTCTGTCATTTTCTCTACAGGCTTTCAGATGAAAGATGAAGACTTTCACTTGGATGCGGGAGAAGATAAAAATAATCTGTTTAACAACATGTTCACGGGTATGTTACAGTGTTTAGTGCTTTAGTGTCATTTGAGATACTATTATAGTTTTATTCATATTTAGATTTTTTTTTCTGTTTGCATTTTTAGTCATTTTGATGTTTTTGTCATTTTTATTAGTTTTTTGATGTCTATATAGTTTATATTATTTTTTATTTAATTTCAATTGTTGTAGTACATCAAGTTAAATTAAATTAATATTTATTCATTCATTCATTATTTCTTTCTTTTGGCTTTCTTGCGGCTTTAGTTTTTATGAACTATAATAGCCCTGGACTTGCAGACACTTCCTGTGATGATTTGTTATAAAATTACAGTGAACTTCCTCTGTCTGTGTTCTGTTCTTCCCATTCAACACTCCCTCACTGTTCAACTTTGTGTGTTTATGTACATGCATATACATTGGCTCAAAAAAAAAAACATCTGGAAAATTATTTTAACATGCATGTCATGCTTAAAAACGTCAAAATTCCTTATATCACAGGTAAAATGATCAAACCAAGTGGCATCTGCAAACAAATAATGCTAGAGCTTTTCTCAGAACTAGCGTTCACAGACTCACAGTTCCTCTTTCTCTCCGTCTCTCTGTAGGTTCTTCGGGTTCGTATAGTTTGCCGGGTTCAGGAGACATTTTTATGAGCATGTCCGGCCTGAATGGATCCTACCAGCCAACCCAGGTCCCCAACACAGGACAGACACAGGTATCACACACACCAACATAGATACAATATATACTGTATAATTTATATACAACATATATAAACAACAATAAAATAATTTACGACACACTGTAAAAAATGATTGTGATTTTAACAGTAAAAGACTGTAAAAATGCTACAGTAAAAACCTATTAACTGCTTAACAGTAAGTTTCCATACTATATTCGGTGAATAAATTTAATTACATTTAATGTAATTTTACAGTAAAATACTGTTAAAAATACGGTTTTTGGAAGTGAAAAAGAAAAAGTCATTGTATAATTTAGAGTGACAAACTGTAAATTGACACTCCCAGAATTCCCTGCATGATGTTTTTTTGTTGAAATAACATGTTTCTTCTTAGTTTTTTCTTATCAGTTGTGTACATTAGGGTTTAATCGTACATCTAATGTTGTTAAATTAATGTTTATTGCATTATTTCAGTATCATGCGTGTCACCATGATGGGGTTTAGTGTTTGTGTGAACGACACTGTGCACCTTCTATATATAAGTATTGCCCTCCTCAGCTCGTAGAAAAGCTGTTTGTGATGAGCTTTGGTTCATCATGTGACTTTCTCATCACCACCAGTTTTTGGTGGTTATCAGTGCATTACAATGATTCAAAACAGATATTAACACTTCAATATGTTGGTTTATTAACATTACATCAGTTAATGAAATACGGTATTTTATTGTGAATTTAAGTTAAAGGCATAGTAAGTGATTTTTCAAAAACACTTTATAAAACTGATTCGGGCCGAATCGCAAAACAAACTTGTAGCCAATCAGCAATAAGGGGCGTGTCTACTCGTGATGTGGAGGAGAG